CCATCCATCCATCCATCCATCCATCCATCCATCCATCCATCCATTCATCCACCCACCCACCCATCCATCCAAGCATCAATCCAGGAAGTGTCTTTAAGGTCCTTGGTGTGCCCAGCCTGGGTGAGGCCCTGGGATAGGCCAGGACATGCAGAGTAAGGCCAGGGCCAGCAGTCAGGAGACTCAGCCATCAGCAGGCCTGCTCTGGGTTGGCTGTGTGGCCCTACATGAGCCTCAGTTCTCCCAACTGTAGAAGATAGACCATCCCTCCCTGCATGCTTCATGAATTAGAGGATCATATGAGACAGCCCCACCAGATACCCGCAAAGTGTCTGACCCAGGGACCAGAGTTAACACATGAAGGAAGGGCTCCCAGACTCCCCGACCTTCTGTTTCAGTCCTGGTCTCCTGGTCTTGGTGGGGCCCCATGGGACCGTCTGGCTCCCAGCCTTCCCAAGTTGGCTTCCTTCCTATTCGCGTATCCCAGTGAGGGCTCCCCCTTGTGGCGATGCCTAGACTAACTGGTATCAGGGCTTTCTGAGGGAGAGAAACATTTGTTGTGGACCAGGAAAAGGAAAGACTAGAAGGCGAGGGTGGAAGCTTGGGAGAGGAGCAGGCGAACAGAGAAGGGAAGGGAATCCTCGGACAGAATGCCAGGCTGGAAGAGGCGGGGACTTCCCACCCCATGTTATAGACGAGGAAACTGAGGTTCAGGAATTAGAGGCGGATCTCGACTGAGGTGGCCACGCCTGGCCCTGCTGGTGCTTGCTCCACAACTCAAGCGTCGCTTGCATTATGCAGGCCAGCGAACAAATGGTGCGGGTCCCAGAGTCCCTGTGCGTGCGGCAGCGTGACCCCGGGGACGTCTGTTCACACAGCGTTCACTCCCGGGGCCAGGATTCCCGGATGTCAGAGACTGTATCCAGAGCGAACGCGCAGCCTCAGACCAGATGCATTGGGAGCCAGAGAGCAGAGACAGCTCACTTGAGAGGATGGGGTTGCTTGAGGGTTACTGAGGGTTACTTGCAGGCCCAAGATGACCAACTCAGCCAGAGGGGCGCGCGTGGGTATGTGCTTGCATGCGTGCGAGTTTGTGTGTGTGCATGTGTGTGCGCACGCGCTTGTGCACAGTTGCGCGTATGGAGCACTGTGTCTAAGTGAGACCAAGTCACCAAGCGATTAGCCCAAGCTCAGGAAGAAATGAGGGAAAGACCACTGCAGTGCATATAAAAGGCCCTCACTAGATCACATTACCTGTCCAGAAACTGCCTAATGGGTTTTTGTTAGACAGGCTGTTGCTAATTCAGAGTGGCCTTGAACTCACTGGGTAGCCCTGGATGGCCTCACACTCACCAAGATCTTCCTGCCTCAGCCTCCCAAGTGCTAGGATTACAGACATGTGCCACCGTGCCTGGCTATAGCCTTGTATTTTTGGAGCTGGTTTCAGAGTGAGCTTTACCCAGCCCCAGGTCTCCTGCTCTGCCCTGGTGATCTCTCCAGGCTGCCTTGGGCCCTGCAGCCTGGGCCTTGGCTCTGTGGGTAAGGTCAGGGGAGGACAGGATAGAGCGCACAGCAGCCAGGCAGCAGAGGGCAGGGCAAGGGGCGGCCCAGCTGGAGCTGAGGGGCTTCCACATGGTCTTCTCTCTGGCCGGCTGGTGGAAGTCTGCTCCCCACAGTGAGCTCGGGGGCCCCTGGGAAAATGTAGTGGTGCTGTCGTGGTGAGGGAGGCCCTGGACTGCGGGAGGAGCCCTGGGCTGTGAGCTGCAGTGTGCTCAGTGAGACCCAGCCTGGTACAGAGCAGGGGTGGCATTGCGGGCTCTGAGGTGGGCTGCCTGGGGTTCACTGCCAGCTTCCACTGGATAGATCTGTGACCTTGGCTTCGCCTTTCTGACCTTCAGTGCTTTCTTTCTTTCTTTCTTTCTTTCTTTCTCTCTTTCTTTCTCTTTCTGTCTTTCTTTTCCTTTCTTTTCCGCAGTGCTGGGGGTAGAATCCAGGGTCTTGTATACATTAGGTGAGCATCTACCGCTAAGCTACATCCCCAGCCCTTTTAATTTAATTTTTAAAATTTTGACACAGGGTCTTGCTAAGTTGCTTATACTGACCTTGCACTTGTGACCTTCCTGCCTCAGCTTCCCAAATAGCTGGGATTATAGGCACGCCTATAAGCCAGTGCCTGGCTTGAGCCTTTGTTTTCTTATCAGTGAAGTGGGGAATAATGGTACCTACCCAGAGATGTTGGAAGCATTAAATAAAGGAAACAGGGAACTAAGGAAAATGCCAGGTTCATAGTAAGTGCTCAATAAACAGCACTGAGTAGGAGGAGGAAGGCACCTTCTGTCTGAGTCGTGTGTGTTTACATGGCTGACTCACATACTAGAGCACCTGGATCCTGGAATCCTAAAATCTCTCTGGCGCTGAGATTATTCTGTGGTTCTAGGGACTGAAGCCTGGAGAATTTCGTACTGGGTGGGGGACCCCAAGGCCAAAGCTTGTGGCTCACATCTTGGTGTCTGAGGGTATCTTGGGACAAGCTGCAGGGCCCTGAGGGTCCTGGCCTGTCCCACGCAGCCTGTGTCTTGTGGTTGTGTTTGCGGGAGGAGAGAGGCTCTCATTAGGGCAGGCAGGGAGAGCTGTTTGCCCATCGTGTTTACCAAGCTGCGCTGAATTATGACTGAACGCCCAGGTCTGGCTGCAGGCAATTGTCTAAATCATTTAGGGGTTGACAAGGAGGGGAGGGAGGGGACATGGGAGTTGGAGGGAGAGTGTTCCTGTAATTCTTCAGTCTGAGGTACATTAAGGAGCCATAAGCCATGTCGAGAGCTTGAATTACATTAGAGAGATTATCCTGTTACAGCTCATAATCCTGGATAATATACCGTCTTGGAGCACACCTGCCCGGGATAAATCTCACCTGTAACCGCCTGACTCCGGGGACCAGGGATGCTGAGGTCACTGGCAGGGCCATCAGAGTGGTCACGGCCTGGAGAGATGCACCTGGAAGCTCCATTGTAGTCCTGAGTCACCTCCACGCCCTGACCTCTGCCCTGACCTCTGCCCTGACCTCTGCCCTGGCCTGGAGGGAGGATGTTGCTGAGAGCCTTAACCTTCTCCACAGCCCTGCACGGGGCCTGGCTGCCATGCGCCGGCCCTGCTCCTGCCCACCTCCCACCGCTCCCGAGACGGCTGACTGAACTCTGTCCCTGTCTCCTGCCTCCTCTCTCTGAATGCCTTCCCTGCCCCTGGCACACCCATCCCAGCATGGCTTTCTGGTTGCTGAGACAAAATACTCCACACTCACAGCTTAGAGAATGAGCAGTTTATTTTGGCTCACAGCTTTCGGAAGGTTCAGTCCATGGTCAGCTGGCTCCAGGGCAGAAAGACAGGGGACCGCAGGGGACAGCTGCCCCCTCACAGCAGCCAGGAGGCAGGGAGAAAAGGGAGGAGCAGAGAACAAGGACGTACCCTGCCGCCTCACATCCCTGGGAACCCACCCCTTCCAACCAGGCCCCACTTCTGAAGGTGAGATTTTGGGGGGACACCTTAGTTCCAAGCCATGACACGGCATGGCCCATGGAGTTGTCTCTGAGAAGCCACACGATGTCTGTGATCTGAGAGCTCTGTCCTGTGTCATGCATGGAACTGACTTCTCTTTCTCCAAACTGCCACATCATTCCTGCACTGGTTTGCTGCACACTGGGGGATATCACCAGCCACAGGGCTGACTCTGTCCTGGTACGTCGCAGGGTGACAGGTTACCACACCTTCCAGGTCCGATCTCAACGTCTTCAGGGCACAGTCCTCCCAGCAATCTTTTTTCTTTTTCTTTTTAGAATCTTTTTGAGACAGGGTTTCGCTATGCAGTTCAGGCTGGCCTTGAGCTCACTTTGTAGCCCAGGCTGGTCTCAAACTCGCAGCGATCCTCCTGCCTCAGCCTCCTGAGTGCGCGGATTACAGGTGTGTGCCACCATGCCCAGGTTTTGCATTTTTTTTTTCCTCCCAGCAATCTTATGACATTCTCTGGGTGGCGTGGTGAGCTCTTTCCAGCCCCAGCTGTCTCCATTGCAGACAGGTGTCACTTCTCTCTCTAGGGAAGCCTGGCTATAGCTGGATTCCTGCTGTGCAGTCCTGCTATGGCGCTGTGAGGCAGCCCAAGATCCATCTATCTGGGCTCTGCCCTATTCCTGCTACCTGATTTCCCCCAATTCCTAGGCCAGATGTGCCTCTACCTAGGGACACATGGGGGACACAGTTCTGGGCCTCCTGGAGCTTCTACCAACTGATGTCCCTCAAGAGCTTCCACAGACATCACTTTTCTGGTGTCACTGAGAGCTGGGCACTGGGTCACGCTGTGGCCCGATTGACCTCCTGAACTCCCTGCCGGTCTTATGAGGTCACTGAGACACAATTTCTGTTTTATATATGAGAATGCTGAGACTTAGAGGACCGATAAAAAAATATGGTATGTTTAGATAAAACGTTTGTTACAGTAAAAGACACATTGGCAAGAATCCCCCCTCACGGCCTCCCCCTTGCTTTGAACACATTCATCTCATTATTCTTGTGGCTTTCTGAAGCAGTTCTGGAAGTCTTCTTTCATGACGGTCTTTACAAGACCAGTAAGTGCTGCTTCTGAGCGGCAGAAAGGCAGCCTCATAACAACATAATGCTGTCCTCACCCACCTTACTCACTGGATCTGGCACTGTGTGACTTCTGGCTCTTCCCCAAAGTCAAAATGATCATGAAAAGAAAACATTTTGAATCAACTCAGGACATCAAAGCAGCCAGGCCAGCATAACTAAAGGCACTCAATGTGTCTTTTACAGTAAAAAACAAACAAATATATTTTTATAAGATCTTATATAGTGCTACAGACCCACCCCTGGTCCAGGGCAGAAGCAGCCCTAGAACCCGTGTTCCAGAGCAAGTGAACTTAACCCTCAATGCCACACTGGCTTCTTACGGTGATGGTAGTACCGACTTCCTCCCCAGCTCTGTGTCCACAATGCCAGCTCTAGCACCCTACTTTTTGCAGCCTTGGATATGCTCTGCATTGCAGGTGGCTCTGTTTCATAGGTTCCTCCCCTCTGTCTCATCAGGGCTCACCCAGAGATGGGTCCATAGCAGTGCCATTGTCCTCATCATTTATCCATGGAATCCTGGTGTGTCAGGGCTGGCAGGTGCCTGAGTGTTTTATATGTGAGACATATATATATTTACCTGTGTGGTTTTCCAACCAGAACATAGGAGTTCTAGTGAGAAATCAGATCAATGGGGGGAGGTGGTGTCCAGACGCCACCCACTTCAGCCAGCTTCCTGCCCTGGACTCCTGCTGCACTCTGGGAAACAGTTGCCCACTTGTGTCCTCCATGGTGCATGGCAGGAAGGGACACTGAAGTTCTGGACACTGAGGATCAGCTGTTCAGCCCACGAGGACCTTGTACCTTCATCACTAACTGAGGATGTACCATGGCTACAACTCGCTTTCCCCAAGAACTGAGCGTTGCAGACCTGGGCCCGACCTGGGCTCCCATTCGCCTACACAAAACTGTGGGATCCTGAGCGAGTCCATCACAGAACCTTCATATCTCTCCTTCTCCTCTCAGAAGAATAATGGTAGGACCTATTGGTTTTAGTTTTCTGTCACTGTGTAAGAAACTACCCTGGAACCCAGATGCTAGGAGCCAGTGTGATGGCACCTCTCTTGGGTGACAGCTGGCTGGGCTCAGCTGGGCGGTTCTTCTCGTGGCCGCTCCATAGCTGCAGTCAGATGGGGCTGGGCTGGAGCCGTTTGCAGGGCTGATCCAGGTGCCAGGCAGCCCAGGAGGTCTGTGTCCATGTGGGCTTTGTGCTCCTTCCACAGCAGCTTGGAGCCACCCAGAGGCTCGTGTGGAACTCCCAGGCCTTCTTAACACTTAGGCCCAGGAGCATGCAGGTCCCTGTCTGTAGCATTTGACTGGTTAAAGACTAAAAGAGAAGGAAAATAAACTCCACCTCCCAGCGGAGCAATGACAAAATCTGTAGTCACCTTTAAGCCGCCACAGCCTGTGACCTTGAACACAGAAATGACTCTGTCTGGTTGTTTTCTATCAGTTCCCATCTCTGAGGAGTGAAGGCCCCAGCCTATGGGAAGCATGGTGCCTAGTGCATAGTAAGCGCTTCCACTTCAGCCAGCACATGTTTTATTTCTAACCCACACGCCCACCACTGTGCTAGAAATGGGGCCTGGGGGTGGTGGGGGCGCCTCATGGCAAACACGGTCTGTACCCCTGATAATAAATAATCTAGGTCATGAGATAAAATTAACACACACAGAGATCAGAGTGCTAATTCAAGGGCTTGCATAATGAGGGAGCGCATGAGGAGGGCAGGTAATGTGCACTTGTGGAAGCCGGGGGACAGGGACTGGACGTGGGGCTGGGGCGGTGAAGCCTTCTAGGAAGGAGGGGGCCCTTGAAGGACATCGTGGCCTAACGGTTAGAGCCTCACTTCCGGGGCTGAGCTCTGTTGCGGGGTCTCAGTGCCGCTGCTGCCTGGATATGTCCTTGTGGCCTTCGCAAGTTGCTTAGCCTCTTCTGCCTCAGTTTCTTTCCTGAGAAGTGCAGCTCACCAGGTGGGAGTGAGGAGTAAGTGACTGATTGCCTACAAGGCAACCACAGCGTGCTGGGCACATTATTGGTACCCAGCGGAGAGTGAACGTCACCATCCCCAGGGAGAAGGGCCTGGGCGGGGTGGGGGAGGAGGGACAGAAGTCTCTGGGTGATAGCACCAGTGACAGCAGTGCAAGGCAGGAAGATGTGCATGTCTTGCTCAGGCCCAGGATGACAGCAGCTTTGTTGGGGGGCAAGGTGGTTCTGGGGGCAACAGGAACCAAGGCAGAGAGCCAGAACCCATCCTGGAGTTGCTCGGACTTGATCCTGGCAGGCCTAGGGGAGCCCCTGACCATCTCTCACCAGGAGAGTCCCGGGCAGTTGCAAGCGGGTGTCTTTGAGACAGAGGAGGTGTAGGAGGCTGTGACACAGGGCGCGGTCCAGGCTGCAGGGCCCCTGCCTCCTGCCTCTCCACTTGTTAAGGCTGCCAGGTGTCTTCGGCCCTGGTGCCCTCTCCTTCCTCCTGGGGGGCGTGACACTCACACAGCCGGGAAGCCCAGGGCTGCCCATCTTGCAGATGCACTTATGCTGCCCGGGGTCGCCCACCTGATAGGAGGAGCGCTGGGAATTTGGCCATGGCCCAAACCAGGCTTCAGGCTGAGGGTGGCAGACGTAGGGCCCTGGTACTGACTGCATGTGTGTGTGTGTGTGTGTGTGTGTGTGTGTGTGTGAGACAGAGAGAGAGAGAGAGAGACAGAGAGAGACAGAGAGACAGACAGACAGACAGAGGAACCATGCATGTGAGACTGTGTCCATCTCTGAGACAGCCTGTTTGTACTTGTGTGTATAAAACTGTCTGACCAAGATGAGAGTGGGAGAGCTGTGTGTCTTTCTTTGAGAAACAGCTGTCCCCTCAAGCAAGGGATGGTGCCATTGGATAGAGCAGGGAAGTAGCATTAGAGTGTCGGTGCCATGTTAGCAAATGAACTGTCCTGTGCGCAGTGCCCTGCACCCAGGCTTCTGACCCTGAGGAGGTCCCACCCCAGGCCACCTGTGGTGCTCAGAGCTCCATAGAAGTGGGGTGGTGCCGCCACAGATCAGGTAGACCCGCCAGGACGCCCCGCCCCTCGGTCCCTCCTTTACCGAGAGCTTAACCATGGCAGGCCCAGGGTTTAGGGCCAAGGGCGGTGGCTCCCTGAACCCCCGCTGTGGAAGAGTGGGTGGGCAGGTGACACCTTTGGTTAATGTGGAGAATCAGGGAACAAGAGAGCCCAGGCCCTGTGCTCTCGCTGGTTTCCTCTGCTCAGCTCTCCATGCGCCTGCCTGGACTCGCAGAGGCCTGTGTCCCAACCCCAGGTCCACCTCTTTTGTGCGCGGCACCTGCAGCAGTGCTGTGACGAAGGTCCCGGGGACGGTCACCGCTGGGCTGTCGGGAGGGATACATGGATGGAAGCGTGGCCTAAAGGCCCGGCAGAAGCATTTTCTCACTCTTCTTCACCTTGGTTCTTTTCCCTTCTCCTTCTTCCTTTATTCATTTAAAGGCCATTTCCTGCGTTTCCCCTGCATCCTTTGGGCCATAGAGGAGAGACAGGGGCAGAGCCTGTCCCAGCCCCCAGGCGGTGAGTTTTCCAGGGGAGCAGGGGCATGTAATGGGAGCCATAGAAGTTTTTTTTTTTTTTTTTAATAGAAGGTTTCTGAGCAGGGGGCGGGACCTGGGGCGCCGTGTGTGCACACACATGTGTGCATGCGTGTGCGTGTGTGTAAGTGGGGCCGCCGAGCCTCTGTCGACCCCAGCAGCCCCTCCCACTCCCCCGTCTTCCTCCTCTCCCCTCTCCTCGCCCTGACGCCCCCTCCCCCTCCCGCTCCATCTCGCTCCCCTCCGACTCCCCCTGCGGCTGCCAGCTGCCAGCCGCTGACGTCTCCTTTCATGTTTGGGGCTGAGCAGGCTTTGAATGTTCGTTTGATTCCGTTAAGATAATAGCTGGTTCACTGTCAGATGCGGGCTGATCAGTTAAAGCCTTAATCACTGCCTGTCTCCTGCGCCGCACTTATTTTTTAAGAGATTAATCCCTGCAGCCCTGCTCCGCCGGCTAACATTCAGCATGGAAAAAAAAAAAAAAAAGAAAGGCAAGGTTTGTGTTCTCTGTGTTATTATTATTGTCATTGTCACCCTGGTTTTTCTGCTTGCGAGCTCCCTCCCTCTGGCCTTTCTCTTCCGTCCCTCTGGTTCCCCAGCCCCCAACTCACTTGTACATTTGTCTGCCCCCCCCATGTGGCTCTCCGTAGTGGGCGATCTGTCCACATACAGGTACAGTGTGGGCAGCGTGAGCGCCCGTACTCACCCTCCCTGGCCCTCTGGCCATCTGGGTGCCTTGAGCACTGTGGGGGTTCAGGACACAGGGTGGGTACGTGCAGCCTAGGGCAGCGGAGAGGCAGTGGTGTGCCCTGGGCAGGGGCCTCCTTTGAAGTCAGACCCGCCTGCCCCTCCCTGGAGATATTCACATGCTGGGTGTCCCAAGGACGCAGCCTCCGCTTCCATATCTGTAAAATGGGTGTCTGAACGCTCACCACAGGGAGGCTGAGGCAGGGGGATCACTGAGAGTTCAAGGCCAACCTGGGCTACATGTAGTGAGACCCTATCACAGAAAGAAAGAAGGAAAGAAAAAAAGAAAGAAAGAAAGAAAGAAAAAGAAAGAGAAAAAGAAAGAACACTGGGAACAGAGCAGGGGCTCTGTATTATTCCTGTTCCCGGCTCCCCACTCCCAGATTCCATGGGAAGATCTCTGGAGGCCCAGAGTCCCTCGATAAAGATGTGGTGTCCCCTCCGGCCGCAGCGCAGACCCTGTCCCCTTGTTACCGTCCAGCATACAAGCTGAAGGTTTGCTTCCATAGTTTGTAGTCAGAGTTCCAGTTTGACAGTGAAAAGCAGCTCAGAGACCGAGTGCAGCCCTGAAGGACACAAGTAGGCCAGGGCTCTGAGAAGGTGCAGACTCAGCCTGGGCAGCGCGGCCAGGCACAGCATGGCTGGACCTGACTTCTGACCAACATTGCCTCGCCAGTTACTAGGGCCCCGCCCTGGACGATAGAGACAGGGCCAGGCTGTGCCAAGCTGGGTGTGGCCATGGGTGGCATAGACCTGTTCCTGACCCAGGAGTAGTACTTATATTACTTAGTTTCTGGTCACTGGGACAAAATACCTGACAGGCGAAACTTAGAGGGGGAGAGGTCTCTTTGCCCAGGCAGAACTAGGCCTAGAAGGACTCCTAGGCCGGCCGCTGGGAATGCTGGTCTAATTTCCAGGTGAGGGCAGGCAGCATGGTATGGGCTCGGTGAGACGCCATGCAGGGCCAGGAGCTGCCTGCATGCTTGGTCTACATGGAGGAGCCAGAGAAATGTGCAAGACGGAGGTCGCAGCTGCAGGGACAGGTGTGGGCGGGGGAGGGAGGACTTTCTACCTTTGGGGCGTGGGAGCTTGAATTTATAGGCTTCTTGTCTCAGTCTTCCAGAGTGCTGGGACTACGGGTGTGTGTACACCACCATATCCTCCCTTCCTGGCCATTAGAGCTCTTCTGGTTGGAAGTGTTGGGTGAGTCCCTTAGCCTCTGGGGCTCAGTTTCCTCTTAACACTAGGACTGACCACAGCAGGCGTAGCACTTGGTGTTGGTGACCATGCAGCTCAGATGTCTCATTGCCCTGCCCTGGGCTGGGTGCCAGCGGCCCAGAGCTGGGCCAGACGAGAACCCTGCTGCAGTGGATGCTCAGAGAGTGCGGGCCAGACCAGTGGTCCAGCCGCAGGCAGGAGGGACAGCCTCCCGGAACAGGGGGCCTGCGAGCCTCATGAGGGTGTTCTGCTCACTGCCTGATCCCCAGTGCCCGGCGCAGCCAGGGAAGGCGGAGGCTCCACCACTCCTTGCTGAGAGGACAGTGGAGCAGCACCTGAGCCTGCTCTGAAAGCAGGAAGAGGATGCAAATTCCCTGCCTGGGCTCAGGGATTAGATGGGAGCCCAGGGCTCCCTGGCTAATCTAGGAATCCAGGGACATCGGGGGCCTGCGTGGGGCTGGGGAGGAGGAGGAGGAGAAGGAGGATGGCTCGGCAGGGGTGGAACAGCCGGGGGTGGGTCCCAGTCTGCCTGGAGCGGGGGCTGGGAAGGGCAGAGGGGGCTGCAATCTTCGACCCGTGGGGGCAGCCGGGGTTAATGGTGTGACATCCCACGCAGTCCGCCCAGGGGTTTCTGATGCCTTTTCTAATTTGGTGAGGCAGAAGATGAGAAGGCAGGGAGAGGAGTTTTTCCTCTCGCAGGTTATTATCCTGCCAGCTCCCCCGGTGCCAGGGGAGGGAGTCCTTGTGTTCCAGAAGAAAGGAAGCAGGGCCTGGCATTCTGGATGGGGGCCCCGGGGAGCGGGGCGGGAGCCAGGCTGGAGCAAATAAAATGGATGCTATTAATGGACCTGGGGCTGGCAAATGGGAGCAGCACCAGGTGGCGGTGGGAAGAGGGGGCTTCCTGGAAGTGGAACTCACGGGGGGTGGGGGCCGAGGCTGCTCCCTCGAAGGGGCCCAGCGGTGCCCTTTTCTGGAAAAGAAGGGCACGGCCTGGCCGTGCGGTGACCCTTGCTCCACTCTGGGCCTGCGGCTGCCTCTGCACGAAGCTCAGCTCCCCAGGGAAAGCCCAGCGCCCGTGCTATCCCTGAACCCCATCTCTGGAGAATTCTGTCCCCTACCTGGCCCTGCGTCCAGGGTAACCTGGGGAACAAGAGAGAGAGAGAGAGAGAGAGAGAGAGAGAGAGAGAGAGAGAGAAGGAGGGGGCAGAGAAGAGGAGGAGGAAGGGAAGGAAGCACAAGGGAAGAAGGGGGTAGAGCAGAAGAGGGAGGTCATCGAGCTCAGGTCCCCGGCACTGAACCGGGGATAGGCAGGCAATGACACAGTGCTGGACCTGGGGCCTTGGCAAGGGGCTGGGGCACAGCCAGGGGGCCCAGGCCTGGTGTGAAGCCCACAGGCTTCGAGGGGCACTGGCACCTGAGTAGCATCCTCTTCTCCACCCCTCTGACAGTAGCCCCCAGCCTGCTGTGAGGGATTTAATGTTTTGAGCTGCATTTGACACGGCTGCTGCTGCTTTTTTTTTTTTTTATACTAGGAATCGAACTCAGGACCTTGCGCTTGCCAGGCACGCGCTTGTGCTGCTGAGCTATATCCCTGGCCCTTGACATGGCTTCTAAAGCCCTGTTTCTTTACGTTTTTCCCTTCAGTACTGAAGGTTGAACCCAGGGCCTTTGCACTGAGCTGAATCCCCAGGCCATTTATTTATTTATTTATTTATTTATTTATTTATTTATTTATTTATTTATTTGTCTTTTTGAGACAGGGTCTCGATATGCAGTTCAGGCTGGCCTTGAGCTCACTTTGTAGCCCAGGATGGTCTCGAACTCACAAATGATCCTCCTGCCTCAGCCTCCCTAGTGCTGGGATTACAGGTTTGTGCCACCATGCCCGGCTCCAGGCCATTTATTATCGTTCGTTTGAGACAAGATCTTGCTAAGTTGCCCAGACCAGGCAATTTGCAATCCTCCTGCCTCAGCCTCCCTGAGGACTGGGATTATAGGTGTGCACCACCATGCCTGTAAGCCTGAGTTGTTTTCTTTTGAAGGCGGTGCCCCTGACTTCCTTGTTTCTGCAGCCCCAGGATCTGGCTATGCAGAGTCACAGAGGGGCCCTAGTGCTGCCACCCCCTTGCCTTGATCAGCCCCGTCGAGGTCGTGAAAAGCCCAGAGGCTGAGAATGCTGGGCCCTAGCTCTCCCTGACCAGCAACTAGCTCAGGACCCTAGGAGGCGTGCTACTTCCCCGTGAGCCTCAGTTTCCGCAGTGTGCTGAGCGCTGAGCGGATGCTTTCCCAGGTCCTGCTGGGAGCTGTGTGCTCTGTTGACCTGCTGAGGTCTCCATGGCTCCTCAGAGGGTCCTGCACCATCATAGCTGCAGCTGGACGGGTAAGAGAGCCATGCAGACAGATGGAGCTGCTGAGGAAGGGATCTAGGAGTGCTGGGGGAGGGAAGCGCTGGCCCACAGTGCCCGCTGGGTGGTCTGCCTGCTTTGGGAGAGGAAGGTGCCAGGCCTGGGGTCAGCCACAAGGTCTTGGCAGTGGTGACCTCTAGGGCATTCTGGTTTATTTCATTGTATTTTATTTTATTTTTCAGACAGGGTCTCCCCATACAGTTCAGGATGACCTTGAGCTTACTTTGTAGCCCAAGTTGGCTTGAACTCACAACGATCCCCTCCTGCCTCAGCCTCCCAAGTACCGGGATTACAGGAGTGAGCCACCACACCCGGCTCTCTAGGGCATTCTAGAATGGGCATATCCTGTCTGCACCAGTGGGCATCTAACATTTAAATCACCTCCAGGAGCTCATTTTTAACAGCCCTGAAATGGGCTGGGTGTGGAGGCGCATGTCTGTAATCCCAGCACAGAGGAGGCTGAGGCAGGAGGATCACCACAAGTTTGAGGCTAGCCTGGGCTACATAGTGAGTTCAAGGCCAGCCTGAACTACACAGTGAGACTCTGCCTCAAAAACAAATAAACAAGCAAACAAACGGCAAACAAGCTATCATGTCTCTTCACAGTAGCCCACCCTACACTGTAGAGTATATTTTTCTCTCCCTTTTTCCTACTGTTGGCCTAAACTTCCCCTGCAGAGCCTGTTTTTTTCTATCTTTAATAAATGTGAAACTTTGAAAAACACAGCAAAACAAAAACAAAAAACATAGCCCCCAATGATTACCATGGTAATAAATAACAACAAAATAATGATAGTGGTTAGAAAAGAATGAAATTGTTCTTTTACTCCACTCTGTATAATCAGATCAGTAGATAATTAAATAAAATACTGCTGTATAAGAAAGGGCAAAGGAGGGGATGGGGGTTTAGCTCAGCGGCACCAAGCCTGCCTGGCAAGTGCAAGATTGTGAGTTCGATTCCAAAAAAAAAAAAAAAAAAAAAAAAAAAGAAAAGAAAGGGCAAAAGAACCTGGCATGGTGGCCCATTCCTGTCATCCCAGTACTCTGGTAGGCTGAGGCAGGCGGATTGCAAGCTCAAGCCCAATCTGGGCAATTTAGCGATCACTGTGCGGCACTGTTGTTTTGAACCTGATGGATGAAATTGATGCAGAGATACCAGAGCCAGCTTCAGGATCTGGGACTGGTACTGACTCGCCTTGACCTGAACTCGGCTGAGTGCCTCCCTTGTGGTCTGAGCTGATGGATTCGAAAGAGCTCTTCATGTGGACTATACAGTGGGTGGGGCACACTCTTCTCCCGCCCATCTGTGGGAGTCACCCGGATGTGCTAATATGCAGCTCAGCTAGATTCCAGGGTCTCTCTGTGTAGCCCAGGCTGGCCTTGAACTCTCTGTGATCCTCCTGCCTCAGCCTCCCGAGCGCTGGGATTACAGGTGTTCGCCACCACAGCTGGCTTAGCATCTTCCTTACACGTGGCAGATGATGTAGACCTATCTGACTGTGTTGGACCCAGCTCGCTCTCCAGGCCTTGGACATCTGTCTCCCACGGCGACACAGTAGGACAGGGATTCTCACTGCAGGTGACTGTGTCCCGCTCACCCCAGGACATGTGGTGATTCCTGGGGGTATTTGTGGTTATCACAACTGAGAAGGGGGTGCATAAACGTGGCCCCGGCGTCGGGTGGTAGAGGTCAGGAATGGGGCTAGGCGCCCTGTCGTGCAGAGTGCAGTCCCTTAATAAAGATTTGTCCAGCCTGAATTCAGATTCCTGCTTTAGAAGCCCGGAGCTGGGCCATGGCTTTTCTTCCATGGGCTGCAGAAATGCCTGACAGCCCAGCTGTTCCTGAGCGCCCCACCTCGCAGTGCCCTCAGGGTCCTGGCCGTTCCTCAGGGTGGCTGGGAGGAGGGGCTTGGAGGAGCCACGTTCCAGCTGTGCCTGGCACTGCTGTCACTGGTACATGACAGGGGGCACGTGCCCCTCCGCCCCTCGGTTCCTTATCTGTAGAGTAGAAGTTAATGGAACTCACTCGGGCTGTGGTGAGGACCAGCGGAAGTCACGGCTGCAGAGGTGACTACGACTGTGAGTGAGGGGGTAGGAGGTGTGGGGTGGGGAATCTGCAGGCCTCAGCCCTCGGGTCCCTAAGATGCATCTGTGTCGTGGGAGAGGGGCCAACCTGCTGCTCCTCTCCTTTCTCCCTGAACTTCAAGAAAGGGAGGGACAAGGGGGAACTGCAGAGCCCCGGCTGAGGCCCAGAGCAGTGGGCGGACAGCGCAGAGTCCAGGAAGCCCTAGGGGCGAGCTGTGGGCTCCTTCCCACCCAGCCTGGGTGCCACCTCCCCAGACAGTAGCAATTATCAAAATCAAACAGTTGACATCAATTACCGCGGTTGGAGAGGGGACCGGCTGCACGGGTGTCTCTGCTTTGCATATCTTAATGGGGACTGACAGATGCTGACCCACAGGGGCGCCGGCCTTCCCAGCTCTCAGCTGTTCATGTGGCACCAATTTTCAGAGCCAAATGACTGCCAGGGCCCGATGTGTGCAGGGTGGACCTATGTCCCCAAGGCAGAGCTGTTTGTGCCTCCGGAGTGCTAGAGGACACCTGAGTGCCTGCTGGGATGGCTGAGGGTACATGGGGACCCTGGTCCTGGGAAGCACCTGCCTGGAGACACGTGTGTGTATAGATGGCGCTCCGGTGCAGCCTGCCCGCAGATGCAAGGTCTCACCCTTGCGCCCAAGCCCCGGAGGTGTTGTGAAGGTAAATCTCCCACCAGAGGGAAAGATTTTCATTCTATCTCTCGCTCTCTCACTCTGTCTTCTTTTTGACAGGGTCACGCCATGTACTGCAGGCTGGGCTTGAATTCACTATGTGTATCCCAGGCTGGCCAAGTCTTGATCCTCCTGTCTCAGCCTCCTGGGTGCCGGGATTACAGGCCTATGACACCAGGCCTGGCTGGACCAGGAGGCTCTGCAGAGGGAAGTCCAGAGATGAAAAGCCAGGTTCCAGTCACAGCACAGTTGGGATTGGAATTGGGATCTTCAAGCAGTGAGATACCAGCTTCCAGGAACCCACTTGGCCCTTCTGCCCCGGCACAGTGCCACAGGGCCTCTCGGGTCCCCTCCTTGCCCCCAGGCCTTCCCTGAGCCTTGTGCCAGGTAGCACCTGGCTCCCCGGAGTCTCTCAGCCGGGGACCCTGCCATCTGCAGCCAACTCCTCTCATCCCCCACAGGAGATGGGTGACTTTAAGAAGGCTCTTTCCATCGTCCCCCCGGCAGAGTACATCCCTGGTGCTTCCGTCACCCCTCACCCTGTCACCCCAACCCTGGCCCCTTGGAACAGGCCTACCTGTAACCTTGTGAAAACCTTTTCTGGAAGCAGCTCCTTCTTCCCTTCCCAGGGGAGGGTGGGCGTTTCCCATATTTGACGTAAAACCAGATTGCACAGCGGAGCTGGTGTTGGTCAGTTCTGTGGGGTCATCCCAAACCCGCACCTACTGGACACCGCTGCATGCCCGGGCGGGGCTCCATCCTGAGGATGCCAGTCCGCTGGCGGAGTTGGACTCACTGTCAAGCCGCGGAACCAGCGGTCCCAGCCCTGCTTCCAGCCTGGGCGTCTCCATCAGAAGCACAGCTCCTGTGAGGAAATGCTGCGCAGGTTCTGGCTGTGCCTCTTTGGAGTCCTGACTCAGATCTCGTGACCCTGAATCCGGATCCCAGGCTCATCCTTTAAGCTTTCAGGCATTGCTGTTGGTTTATTAGGGTACTTAGTCCTGAGATCCAGGAAGCTGGCACCGAGCCCTTACTTGGGACCAAGGGGCAGCAGGCATCCTGTCCCCAGATCCCGGGTGGCTGCATTAGTCACTGTCCCTGCCTTGCATATCACGCGGCCCTGGCAGATACAGCCTGATGCTGAGGGAGGTGGGTGAGATTTGGCTTCAAGGGTGGAGGTTAGGGGAGCCCCTGGTCCCATGGTGCGCTGGCTGCTGTGCCTCGCCCGATTGGTCAGTCCTGGCTGCCCCAGGGTGACGCTTCCCGTAGACTGAGGAGGGTGGAGAACGGGTGCCGTGTCAGCCAGGATTCCTGGGGATTCCTAGGGATTAACAATCAGACACAAGCAGCCCTGTTTTCCCCTCCGCCCTCTTCTCCACCCAGCCCCGAGAAAAAGAAAAATCCGTTGGAAACGAATCCCCCCCGCCACCCGCTTCTCCTCCTGCTCTCACCAATTTAAAAGAAAAATAAAATACATTCCAGGAACCAGGACGGCTGCAGAGCAACTCAAACCAGAAAATGCTTAAAGATGTTTTAATGACTTAAACACAGGGGCTGGTTTGTGCCTAAGTTTCCACATTAAAAGAAAAAAAAAAGCAAATTCAATATTAAATATCCTGCCTGCCCTTTCTCTGGTCCTCTCCCTGCCCCGCCTGGTTCTCGGAGCCTCTGGCCCAGCACCCCACACCCCACACCCCACACCCCACACCCTGCACCCCACACCCTGCACCCGGCCTTCAGCTGCGGGTTATTAGCACCCGGCGTGAACAGAGACCAGGCCCCTCCATAAAGTTTATATTCACATTCCAAAAAAGAAAAAACAAGGACGGGGAGAAAAACAACACCCTAGGTACGGCCCCACCGCTCGGGCATGCAGAGGCGCCTCCGCCCCCAGCCCAGGCCGGGAGGAGCTGTTAACTAGCAGCTGACAGACGTTTACAGCGGGAATTAGCCCCTCGTTTGGCTTGGGATTAGCCCAAATCTTCGTCTCCTTACTTCTCTGCCTTCCCTCACCGAGGGCTTGGGGTGCTGGAGATCTGTCTCTGGGGGCCTGGCCGGCAGGGGTTGGAAGGCGCAAGGAGACTGAAATGGCTTGGAAATTGGGGGATACGGGGCTCCAGGCAGGGCAGCAAGAGGCCAGCGGGAGGACTGTGACTTTCCCCAGTGTCTGTCGGACGGAGCAGCCTGGACCGTACCTGGAGACACCTCAGAGATGGGTCCCGGGGTGCCAAGCCCTGGGGATAACCAAGTCAAGCTGTGGATTGAGCCCTTTTTGATTTAATCCTCCTAGAAAGCCCTAGGATTTACAGATGAGCATGGCGAGGTTAGAGAGGGAACATAAACAACTTCCCAAGGGCCCAGCAGATGAGTAGGAGAGCCGGGATGGGAGCCCGTGATGAGGCGCTCCGGACTCTGTACCTGCGGGTCACAGCGGCTCCCGTGCTGACCCCACATGGGTTACTACTGGATCATCGCTATTTCCGTTCGCACAGTGCTGTGGTCTGCATGGCGGAGCCCACCGAAATTCAGGTGCTGGGGCCTTTGGGGTGCTGAGGCCACAAGGGCAGAGCTCTCATGAGCTCAGCACCTTAGGAAGAGGCTGCTTGTCTGGTCCGCCGCCCCACCGCGTGAGGACCCAGGAGGAAGGCGCCATGCCTGAGGTGGAGAGCAAGCTGTCGCCCTGAGCCTGCGCCTGCCTTGGTGTTGGGCTTCGTGGCCTCCGGGGCTGTGGGCAACCAGACCCAGAGGATCCCCGACCTGGCGGGGCTTCACAGGGTGTGATCTCCCCAGGAGGCAGCTGGTGTTTCCCAGGCGGCCTTCAGAGAGAGGATGTCAGCATCTGTCTGGAGCAGAGGGGCTGGGGCCTTACAGCTGCCCAGATGTTTGGCCTCCCAGGAGCTCGGCTCTGCAGAGGTGGCGCCAGCTGTTTATGGCCTCTTCTCCTCTGGGGTGGCTCTCGGGGGCTGTGCTGCCACCCAGGGTCAGCCCAGCTAGGAAACTGTCTTGGAATTCTAGAGTGCTCCAAAATCCTTTTCTTTCTTTCTTTCACTTTTTTTTTTTTTAAAAAGTAATGCTGGGAATTGAACCATGCATGCTAGGCAAGTGTTCCACCACTGGGCTACACCCCGTCCCTTTTATTTTATTTTATTTTATTTTATTCTATTCTACCTTATTTTATTTTATTCTATTCTACTTTATTTTATTTTATTTTATTTTGAGACAAAGTCACTAAATTGCCCAGGCTGGGGTTAAACTTACCATCTCCTGCCTCAGCCTCCCAGGGTGCTGGGATTACAGGTGAGTGCTGGCCAGTACTCCTGTCGGAAATCTGAGGAAAATTTGAGGCATGTGGAATACTTACCCTTGAAGCACGCTTTGCAAGTGAAATGGCTCTGTCAGTTTAGGAATGTAAGTGCTTGGCATATAACTTGGTTTGCTTATAAAGTCTTCATCTGGGTGTATTTTGAAATTTGAGGCCAGAGACAGGGAGAACTTGAAATTTCAAGGAGAACTTCTAACCCCTTGACTTGGAGAGACAAATACAAGGTGTGCTGTTAATTTTTTGTCTTCTTGTGTGGATTGGCACAGGTGTGGCTTTTGAGGGGGGGTCAGAGCTGGCCCTCACAGAAGGGACCCCCCCCCTCAGGGGACAAGGCAGGCAGAGTTAGGGCGGCCCGGGGTGGGGTTTCCTAGGGATGTGGAAGGAGAAGGAGCCTGACTTTGTGCAGAGGGTGACCCACTACCCTCAAGCCAAGTCACCCCTCCCTGGCTGAGACTGAAGTCTCCATGTCCCCTTGTTCTGTTCATCTACCTTCCACCTTCTGGGGCTTTTGTCCTGGAGGAGGGGGTCCCCTTTAAGTGTCCCAAGAGCGCCCAGGGCTCAGTTTATTCCAACCAATACTTAGGAGCCTCCAGGGACAGATACCTTAGAACCAGGCTCTGCTCGGCAGGAGCCAGATGCAGACCAGTGCAGAGGATGACAACTGCTTTTCTGCTGGGAGTTTCTGTGTGCCAGGCACTGTGACCAGCGATGGATATAACACATTAACATTTTTGAGGCTGGGAATTTAGCTCAGTGGCACAGCGCCTGCCTGGCAAGCACAAGATCATGAGTTCGGTTCCCGGTACTGGGGGAAAAAAACCAAAAACAAACAAAAGAACATTTTAATCCTTCCAACAACCCCAAGACGTGAATCTTGTTTAACAGCTCTCACTGCTGTTGAAACTGAGGCATAGATCGATCAGCTAACTTGCTCAAGATCAGCGGGAATTTGGACAGGCAATCTGTGCCCGAGTCTGGGCTTTTTACCCACTCCACAAAGGGGGCCTCAGTGGGCTACATGACATTGGGAATGAAGAAACCATCTAGAGCTGGACGCAGCTGTGCATGCCTGTAATCCCAGCACTCAGGGAGGATGAGGCAGGAGGATCTAGAATTCAAACCTAGGCTGGGCCACTTAGGGATTTAGTGAGCCCCTGTCTCAAAAATTAAAAATAAAAAAAGGCTACTGAGGATGTAGCTCATTGTGAAGGCCCTCCCCCCCCCCCACACGATCTGAAACAGAAGAGCAAGAGACTTTTCCTTTCAGTTTTACTTTCTGTGTCTATTTATAACCTGCCTAACCCCGTGGGGGGTTTTGGGCTGCATCCCCCCCGCCTCGGTCCTGCCGCACCCCCACCATGCTCACCACTGGGTAGCCTGCCTCAGTTCACACCCGCAGTCTCCTGTCTCACGCGAACACATTTCTCAGAGCTGGTGATCGCGCGAGCCGGACGCCGGGCCCATCACTGACAGCGCACAGTGCTCCCCTCCACTCCGCAAAGGGCCTGGCTTGAATTATGAATTAGAGGGTCCTGCGAGTCAGCGCATGCGCAGGAAACACAACCGCAGCGCAGCCTTCGGTCTAGACGGCGCTGAATTATGAATGACCGCATGACAGTCATCTTTCTCTCTCCTAATGATAACCCAGAGAAGCAGGCAGACACCCCGGCAGAGGCAGCGCAGGGTAGGACTGGCCTCTCCAGCTGCGCGGCCAGGGGCTCTTGGCAGTTGTGGGTCCTTCCATGATGCGTAGGTGGCAGCTGCCATGTGTCCCCCCTCCACCCCCTCCTCCCGCTCCCAAGTGGAGCCTGACGTCTGTCCTAGAGTCCTGGTTGGTCTGGGTGATTTACTTCACCAGCAGAATGTGACAGAAGGCACACAGGAAGCCACACGGCTTCTTTGGTATTGAGGCAATAAATTGTGCACTAGGATATTTGGATAGATGTGTAATGATCACATTACAGGGTGATCAGCGTGTCTATCAGCGTCAATGTTCATAATTTCTTTGTGGTGCAAACATTTAGGATCATCACGTCTAGGTTTTCGGAACGCACTGTTAACTCCCTTCACCCATGTTTTCCTGTGTTCCTGTAACATTGTACCCACTTATTAACCTCTTCCCATCTGTGGTGGACTGACAGTTGGTGGTCATCTTGTAACACCCAGCTGAACTGAACCAGCGCGGTGCTGGGTGTAGGGGGCCCACCTGAGGATTGTTGCTGGCAGCATAAGAGCCTGAACTGGAGAGGAAGAAGTTTAGAAGCTGTTGGGAGCTGTTGGTGCTGTTGGTTTTCCTGGAGTTGCTGTTGGTTCTCTTGGAGGACCTTGTCTTGCTGGCTTTCTTGATGAACTTGGCTGTTGTCATTGTTGAAGGAGCTCAGGACCTTGGTGTCCCTAGGAATGGCTATGGTTCATTTTAGCGGAGCTCTGGTCCTTGCTTTGAGCATCGCTTTCTGGCTCTGGAGGGGAAGATGGTGCACTGCTTCTTGGAGAAGTTTGTCTCGTTGGCTTTGCTAAGAGGAGTGTGATTGTTCTCATCGCTGGAGGAGCTCAGGACTTCACTGTCACTGAGGACGGCTGTGGTACTTTTCAGGGGAGCTCTGGTTCTTGCTTTGAGTGTTGCTCCCTGGTTCCAGTGCAGATCCCTCAGCCTGCTAGCACAGATCCTTCATCCCGCTGGCACAGACTTTCTAGCTTCTACCTTTGGGCCTTCCTAGCGCAGATCTGTGAAACAGGCCTGCATGAGGCATTGTTGTGGACCCTTGGCCTCCAGTTGGACTCATGGGGGGCATTGTTATAGGCTCTAGGTCTTCAGCTGGCCTCATGCGGGACATTATTGCAGGATCCAAGCCCTCTGCTAGATTCTTCGGTCTTTAGTGTGTGGACAGATTTCCCACACTCTCTTTGTATATGACTCTTTGGGTGACTATTATAACATCATCTTATAATTAAGTATCCTGTATTGTATTGTTTCCCCTGGTGAAACCTCTTAACTATAACACCATCCCTCCCTCCCTCCTATCTGCCTCAGCCTCTGCTATCAGGGTTTCCCAGCTTCTATGAGATCCACTTTTCAGGTTTCCATGGATAAATGAGGCAGCACTGCTTTTCTGTGCTTAGCTTATTTTCTGAAACCTCATGTTCTGCAGCTTCACCCATGTTGTTGCAAATGACAGGCCTCACCTTTTTTATGTCTGAATAGTATTCCATTGTGCCACTGGAAGCTATCACCTTTTCTTTTTCCATGTTTCTGCTCTGAAGACT